TAAGAGGGTTACTAAAGCTAAAATTTGACAAAGATAAAATATGTGATGCATGTGCTAAAGAAAAACACAAAAGAGCCTCCTTTAAATACAGTAATTATGTATCAACTAGTAGAGTATTACAATTGATCCATATAGATCTTTTTGGGACAATTAGGACTACTAGCTTGGGTGGAAAACAATATGCATTTGTCTTGGTAGATGACTATTCTAGATATATATGGGTTCTATTCTTAAGTACTAAAGATGAAGCATTAGAAAATTTCATCTTGTTTTCAAAAGTAATCTAAAACGAAAAGTTACTCCATTTCTAGTGTTAATAGTGATCATGGTACAGAATTTGAAAATCTTGGATTTACTGATTTTTGTAATTCTAATGGTATTAGTCATAATTTTTCAGCACCTAGAACCCCTCAACAAAATGGAGTTGTTGAGAGGAAAAACAAAACTTTAGAAGAAATGGCTAGAACCATGCTTTGTGAAAATAATTTTATAAAATTTTTTTGGCGGAAGCCACAAATACCGCTTGTTATGTTATAAATCGACTAATGATTAGGCCTATTTTAAATAAAACTCTATATGAACTTTTCAAAAATAAAAAACCTAACATTAGTTATTTTTATCCTTTTGGATGTACATGTTTTGTTTTAAAAAATGGTAAAGACAATCTTGGCAAATTTGATGCTAAAAGTGATAAAGGAATTTTTTTGGGTTATTCCTTAAATTCTAAAGCTTATCGAGTATTTAATAAAATAACTTTAGTGGTAGAAGAGTCTATACATGTTATTTTCGATGATAATCCCCTTCCGAGGAAATATTCTTGTGTTGATGATGAAGTAGGTATTGTAAATGCACATGATGTTGGAAAACCATCATCAAAGGAAGAAATGAAAGATGAGGAAACTCACGATGTTCTCGAGAATCCAACCATTGAAGAAAGGGAAGTCACTTACCCAAGAGAGTACAACTATGTCAAGGATGGTGAGATTATAGGTGATCCATCCAAAGGGGTAACAACTCGATATTCTCTTATAAATATATGTAATTATGTTGCATTTATCTCATGCATAGAGCCTAACAATATCCAAGAAGAATTAGAAGATGAAAACTGGATTATGGATATGCTAGAAGAGTTAAATCAATTTCAGAGAAGTAAAGTGTGGACATTAGTTGAAAGGCCTAGTAATAAATCTACTGTAGGTACTAAATGGATATTTAGGAATAAGCTTGATTAAAGTGATAATATAGTGAGGAACAAGGCTAGACTTGTTGCTCAAGGCTATAATCAAGAAGAGGGCACAAACTATGATGAAACATACGCTCTCATAGCTAGGATGGAAGCAATAAGAATGTTATTGGCATTTGCATGTTTCAATGAATTTAAATTATATCAAATGGATGTTAAAAGTGCATTTTTAAATGGTTTTATAAAAGAAGAAGTGTATGTGAAACAACCTCTTAGTTTCGAAGATTCAAAATTTACAGATCATGTTTTTAAATTGACAAAAGCTTTATATGGTTTAAAACAAGCTCCTAGAGCTTGGTACGAAAGATTGTCAAACTTTTTAATAGAAAAAAGGTTTTTCAAAAGGGAATATTGACACTACATTGTTTTTAAAGTGAAAATGTAAAGATTTATTAGTAGTTAAAATTTATGTTGATGATATAATATTTGGTTCTACTAATGATGCTCTTTGCCAAGAATTTTCTAAGCTAATGTAGAGTGAATTCGAGATGAGCATGATGGGGGAGCTCTCATTTTTCTTGGGACTCCAAATCAAGCAAAGAAAAGATGGCATCTTCATCAATCAAGCAAAATACGTCAAAGATATGCTCAAAAAGTTTGGATTGGAAGATGGAAAACCCCAAGCCACTCCAATGAGGTCATCTACAAAGCTTAACAATATGAAGGAGGTAAGTGTGTAGATGTTAAATTGTATAGGTCTATGATTGGCTCTTTACTTTATCTAACCACAAGTAGACCAGACATCATATCCTAAAGAATCACATCTAAAAGCCATTAAAAGGATCTTTAGATACCTTAAGGACACTCCTAGATTAGGACTTTGGTATCCTAGAGACTCTAGCTTTAGCTTGCATGCCTTCTCTTATTCGGATTATGGAGGATGCAAAATAGATAGGAAAAGCACCTCCAATACTTGCCAATTCCTAGGAAATATGTTGATTTCATGGTTTTCAAAGAAACAAAATAGTGTTGCATTATCTACCACTGAAGCAAAATACATTTCAGCCGGTAGTTGTTGCGCACAAGTTTTATGGATGAATAACAACTTTTAGATTATATAATTGAAGTTGGTACCATACCTATAAAGTGTAAAAATACTAGTGCTATTTGTCTCACTAAAAATCCCATCAAACACTCTAGAACTAAACACATTGAAATTAGACATCATTTCATTAGAGATCATGTCACTAAAAGAGATGTAGTTCTAGAATTTGTTGATATTTTGCATCAATTAGCGGATATTTTTACAAAACCTTTAGATAAAGAAAGATTTTGGACACTTAGGAGAGAATTAGGTTTAACCAACCTACCTTGACTTAGTGTTTAAAATAATTTTAGCACTTTTAGTAAGAATTTGAAAAATGCTTATAAAAATAACACTTTTGATGCATTCTTTGCTAATTGTTAGGGGGAGTTTATGATCTTTAGTGAAAATTAATAATATGTTCAAATAAAATTTAAAGATAGATTTGATTGATTAAACATTGTTAATTTTCGAAATATGAGTTGCCAATATCACTAAAGCTAATTAATTTAGCATTCTAAGTGTTTAAAACAGATTTTTGACATTTTTGTGCAAAGTGTATCGATACTTCCTCGCTATGTATCGATACACTATGAATGTGTACCGATACATTCCTTGAATGTGTATCGATACACTCAGGAGTGTAACGACACACTCGTCGGGTTTTTGGCTTTAAATCCCTAAAATATAATTTTTGCCCAAACCTATCTCAAAGAAACACTCCCGCCGTTCGAAACCCCTATCACCCAAATCTTCATTCTTTCTCATTTTCAACGATTCAAGTTGAAATTTGTTCATTTTACAACGTACAATCCTGCTGCATTCATTAAAATCGTGCAAACAACATCACATTCCACTCAAATCCAAATTTTCATGGTATTTTTTCTTCTAAAACTCTATTTTATTGATTTTTTAACTTAGGATTAGTTTTGATTAGTTCTAGGTTGAAATTAATATCGGACATTTGTTAGATTGTAGTTTAGAACTATAATCTACAACTAATTTCATCAAAAACACAATATTTTTCAAAATATTTCTAAATTTTTGAAATAAAAATTTTTTATTTTAAAATTGTTGTTTTTGATTTAATTATGTTGTTTTCATTAAAACTATACATATTATGATTGTTTTCAAAATTGGTTTAAAAAATTGCCCATTAGGATATTCTTAGAGAACATTGAATATTGAGGACTCATATTGAGTTTTGGGATTGATTTTGTTGCATACATGTGTTCTAAAATTGCAGGTATCCTTAACTATTTCGATTTAACCATGTCTCATTCTAAACGCCCTAGGTCATCGTCTAGTCAGTCAAACCAACCTCAAAATCGACCTCATATTCCACCTCAAAATCCAAACCCAAACGCTCCCAAAATGAATATCCTAAATTCATGTTTTAACGAACCTGGCTGTCGAGAAGACCTCTACCATAGGTTTGTTAATCTTTTCGAGTCATATAAAATCCGGGAAGAGTGTATCCCCTCAATCCAAGCTATGGTCGATATGAAATTTCAATATCTTTCTACCCTTAAATCTTGGAAATTTGATAAACTATTTCAGCTTAAACCTATCATTTATCACCAACTCGTCTGCATTTTCTATTCCAATGTGGTTTGTGTCCAAAATGAGTCTCGAGCTGTCACCGTAGGGATTCGATCTTATCTCTTAGGTCAATTCATTTATATTGATTCCAACACAATATTTAACACCTTTGGTTTAGATAACGAGGGTTCAAATAACGAAAGAGAGATTGTGGCTACTCCCTATAGAGCCAATGCTAGTGCAAGTACATTGTTAACTCATTATGAGCGTTTTCTTCACTTAATCATCTCTTAGTGGTTTAGACTATTCGGAGGTAGATATTTTACACTTAGAGTACTAGAACTTTGGTGGATACATTGTATCCAAAATAAAAAGAAAATAAATTTGCCACAAATTGATTTTGTTGAGCTAGTAGAAACTGTAAAAAAAGTCCCGTCTAAATATGTAGAAACCTTAGTTTACGGTTGTCTTCTTAGTAATTTGTTTATCAAATCCAATCTTAGGGTCCAACTTGATGTAGCCATCCCTATTAAGAACCAAATAAATTTCACAACCTTAAAGAAATCGAGATGGTCCGAGGAAAAGGATCAATGGGTTCGATCAATCGAGAAAACACCGGGTGCTAGCTCTTCACGAGCTGCTCTAGCACCGACACTGGCAGCTGATGATGATCCCGAGCTTGAAGAAGATATGCGAGATATCGATGATCATGTACCCGAGGACGAGCCGGTCCAGCAAGAAAATCGAATGCCTCTATACTTTCGATCATTTTTGGAGACATTTGATATGAGATTTGCATCCATAGAGTCCCATTTAACCGATATGGGGGCTCAACAATTGCATATTCAACGGGAGATACGAGTTAACCACGAAGTTGTTAACGAACAATTAAATGCACTTACGCTCGATATAACTGCAATGCGAGCACATTTTCCTCCTCCCTGTCCACCTATGGATGATTAGACCTTTTCTTGCTTAGTTTTCTTGGATTGAATTAGAACTTATTGTTAAAACATTTTAGATGTTTTTGGATTTGTGTGTTTTTGGATGTTTGTATATATTTGAATGGTTAATTTGAACTTCATGTTTATTTTGATTTTATTAATTTTTGCATCATTTACACATTAGTTGAATATGACCAATTACAATTACACATTGTTTTTTAATATTGATTATGGACTAATGGCTAATCTTTCTCTTGATTATGATCTTAGCAGTTTAAGTTATATCTATTTAAATTAATTGGCTATTTTCTTAAAACCTTGTTTAAACGTTTTATAGAGTCTTTTTGATTTAACAAAAAGGGGGAGAATAAAGTAAGGGGGAGTAATTTTCAAAATTGATTTCAAAAATGATTTTCAAAGAAAATCTTAAAATTACTTAAATGTTTTGTTATATCAAAAAGGGGGAGATTGTTGAAAACATTTTGATGTTTCGATATAACAAATAAAGTATTATTGAATTTTAAGATTTTATTCAATTTTAAATTATATATTTGATTAAATTATTCGAATATCAAAAATATTACTCCAAGCTTTCAAATATCAATTTTAATCCTTACTTAAGTGTAAAATTGTGTTTTAGTCTTAAAATATTTTTGAAACAATTTTTAAAAAGTATTTTGAACCTTACTTGAGCCAAAAATATTTTTTACAAATGGATGTACCAATACACTCTTGGATGTGTCGATATACACCCAACTTCGAATGTATTTTGTGTAACGATACATAGCCGATGCATCGATACACTCCTGGCTCTGAGAAACATCGAATGTAATTCGTGTACTGATACACCTGGGATGTACCGATACACTAGGTCAACTAACGGTCGAAATATTTGAATTTTACACTGAGTGTACCGATACACCTTGAGAGTGTATCGATACACCTACACTCCCAACAGAATTTTTAAATGATAATTACACCATAATGGCTCTATTGACTTCACCAATGATCCTCAACGTTCAGAAGTGATCCAAGGTGTATATAAACAAGTTCTGAAGCCATTGATCAACAACAATTAAGAAGAGAAGCTAGAGAATCAAAGATAAAGCATCAAACCTCAAGTTTGAGCATTTTCAAGCCTATTTTCATTCAATATTCATTTTGCTTTCAAGAACACCATTTGTACTCAATTGTATTCATTCTTTAGTGCTATTTCTTTGTTCTAGAATTGTGCAAACATCTTGTCTTGTGAGGTTTTTCTGTAAGTTCGCGAAATTTGTATTCTTCTCTTTGGGAGATAGTGTTCTCAAGAATTTGGGTATAATTCTTGAGGGAGTTGTAAGGTTACTCTTTGTCCTCAAAAGAAAGATCAAATTAGTGAATTTGTTGGAAAATCCTTAGTGTGGATAGCTAAGGTAGTGGACGTAGACTTTGGTTGAGAAAGTCGAACCACTCTAAATCGTTGTGCAAATATTTTCAATTTTCTGCAAAAGCTTCCACCAAAATTTTAATTGCCAATTTACCCCCTCTTTACTATTTCGTTGATCGATTAACTCAATAAACCACCAATTATTTGTTTACAGGTGTCAATGCTCTTGTCTGGTAGCATAACAGATTACTCCTTAGCTGGATTCCTTCAGACGACATTCTCAGTGGGCTCCGTAGGTGGGTTGTCCTCTTGGCTAGTGAGTCCTTTAGCTGCTTCACCAATCTGGATCTCTCCCTTGGTTTGGTCCATAATCATTTCCTCAATATTTATATCAGATAATTCCTTAACCCTAATTTTCTTTTTACTGATCACTTTCCCTTTTTCCCAATTCATATCCTTCCCAATCCCTAACGATTCCAACCTTAACTTCTGATTTCCCAAATTTCCCAATTTAGTGAGCCCTAACTCCAATTTTTCCCCAAACTCTCTCTCCCTTTCACCTTCAACCATGACAATACTTCCTCATTCAGAAGATCCTTGCCCCAATGATCAAAATCTGAAAATTGGGCACGCAGAACAATGTAGTATTCCCACGTTGCATCTACCTTCCCCAAATTTGTCCACTGAATCAGGAGTTGTGTAACTGCCTGATTATTTTGTTTCACGATCTTTTTGTCTAACACGCTAGCTGAGTGTATCTTTAAGTGTCCTTTAGCATCAATCTCAGGAGAATCGAGTGAGGTAATCGTCTATTCACCTACTTTCTTCTTTAATAGACTAACGTGGAAAATAGGGTGGATTTTTGAATGGTAATGCAATTTTAGTTTATAAGCTATTGATCCCACTCTTTGAATCACTGCGTATGGACCAAAAAATTGACCAACAATCTTTAAGTTCTTTCGAAGTGCCAAGGATGTTTGCTAATATGGCTGTAGCTTAAGGTAAACACGATCCCCCACCTGAAACTCTTTGTTTGTACGTTTTTTGTCTGTAGAGACTTTCATTTGCATTTGAGCTTTCTGTAGCTGATCTTGTAGAATTTTGTTCATGGTATTTCTCTGGTCTAACAACTCCTATACTGTATGCACTATAGATTGACCGCCCCAAGATAAAACTTGAGGTTTATACCCATACATAGCCTTGAACGAGGTTATACCTAAAGCAGTGTGATAATTAGTGTTGTGCCTTCACTCTGCTTGTGGTAACCAATCAACCAATGTAGTAGGTTGAAGAAAACACATGCTCCTTAGGTATTGTTATACACATTGATTTACTCGTTCAGTTTGACCATCCGTTTCAGGATGATAGGCAGTGCTGAAGTGAGTTTTTGTGTCAACTTGCTTCATAAATTATTTCAAAAAAATATTTGTAAATAACTTGTCCCTATTTGACACAATAGACTTGGGATGACTATGTAATTTGTAGATCTAGACCAAGTAAAGCTTGGCCAATTTAGCTGCTGTATAAGGATGTTTTAAAGAAATGAAATGAACATATTTTGTAAATTTGTCCACAATCACCCAAATGTAATTAAATTTCTTTAAAGGTGGGAAGCCTTCAATGAAATCCATGGAAATCATTTCCCAAGCCTGGTGGGGAATTGGTAGTGGTTGTAGGAGACCAGTCTTGTGAGAATGCTCAACTTTAGTCATCTGGCACACTTCACATTGACCAATAAATTCCTTGGTCTGATTTTTTAACCCATACTAGTGAAAATAGATTTGAACCCTATAGACAGTAGCATGTATTCTAGAATACCCTCCCAAAGGGGATGCATGCAAAAGGGATAAAATTTGTTGCCTCAAACCCCCAGTACTGCCCACATAAACTTTCTTATTGAATCTAAAAACTCCGTGGTAAAAGTCCATAGGCTCTGTACATCTGTGCAGATACTGAATTCTACAAATTTTCTTTTGCAAAGTCATCCTTTGCATAACTCTTTTCAAGGTATTGAACACACTATGGAATAATAGTTGTGACAATAAACTATTGTAATTCAACTTCAGATTTTCTAAACAAAGCATCAGCAGCCAAATTTCTTCTTCCCTTTCAGTAAAAGATTTTATAATCTAATCCCAGAAGTTTTGTGAGTCATTTATTTTGGATGGAAGTAGTTAATCTTTGCTCCAAAAGATTTTTAAGTGCCTCAAAGTAGTGTCTCCATTTAGTCACTACCATAAGAATAGCTAGGTACTCCCTTTCATACATAGACAAATCAGTATGTTTAGGACTTAGAGCCTTACTCGAATAAGCTATAGGGCTCCCATCCTGAGATAAAATAACCCCTATACTAGTACAACTCACATCTATCTCCAAGTAGAATGGTTTGCTAAAATTTGAAAAAGAAAGAACAAGGGCTTAGCATATGACTGATTTGAGGGTTTCAAAAGCTACCTTAGACTCAAGTGTCAAAGTGAAATTATTTTTCTTTAACATGTCAGTCAATGGCCTGCTAATCATCCCATAATTTCTTATAAACTTCTGTAATAGCATGTGAGACCCAAAAATCCCCGAAGAGACTTTAAATTGGTAGGAAAATTCCAATTCCTCATCGCTTCAATCTTTGTTGAGTCAATAACCACACCCTGAGCTGAAATTATATGGCCCAAATATTCCACCTGAGTTTGTCCAAAAAACATTTACTTCTGTTAGGAAATAACTGATGCTTTCTCAAAATGTCCAAAACAGTTTGTAAATGTGTTTTGTGATATGCCATAGACTTGCTATATATGAAAATATCATAAAAAACACCATAATAATTTTCCTCAAATATGGTCCAAAGACTTCATTCATAAGTGTTTGAAAGGTAACTGTAGCATTTGAAAGGTAACTGTAGCATTTGTCAATCCAAATGACATGACTTTGAACTCAAAGTGGACATGGTGAGTTCGAAAAGCATTATTCTCAATATCATCAGTTCTTATTCGAATATGCCAATACCCAGATCTGAGATCAATTTTAGAAAAAAATATTGGGAACCAGCCAATTCATCTAAAAGATCCTCTACAACCGAAATGGGAAATTTGTTTTTAACAGTCATTGAATTCAACTGTCTATAGTCAACACAAAGCCTCTATGAACCATTTTTCTTTTTAACCAACAAGCAAGGAGAGGAAAAAAGACTCTTGCTAGTTTGTATAATGGAAGAGGCTAACATCTCCTTGATTTGCCTCTGAACTTTTACCTTTTGATGATGGGGAAATTTATATGGGCGTAGATTGACAGGTTGAGCACATTCTTTAAGGAAAATTGCATGGTCTTGGCATCTCTCAGGTGGCATACACTCGGGTTCAGCAAAGATATATGCATATTTTTGTAGTATTGGCTGCAAGTCTGTTAAAATAGAAAACGGGTCCTCTTCTGTAATCATTAAATATAATTCACCAGTAAAAACAACATCTTTAGCAACCATTCTCTGCAATCTATTATCAGAAAGTAACTTTACAGTTGACAACCTTTTCTCTCCTTGTAATAGAATTTGTTGGCCATCCTTCTTGAAAGTCAATGTCAAATTATTAAAATCTATCAAAATAGGATTGTACTTTTGCATCCAGTCAACTCCTAGAACCATGTCACTACCTCCCAGTTGTAAGACTCTGAAATCATGTTCAAAGAGATGCCCCTACATTTTCCATTAAAGTTGCTTACTGGTGAGAGTGCTGTAAAGTTTCTCCCCATTTGCTACAGTGATATAAAGAGGTCTAGTAGAAAGAACCTCTACACCTTCTTTAGCCCAACCAGCAGTTACAAAACTATTTGTGCTACCACTATCAATCAAGATATTTAATGTCATCCCTTTTACAATTCCCTGAATGTGCAAAGTA